CACGTTTTCCACTGCCTCTGTGTCTGGTGAATTTTGATGAATACCTGCTCCTCATATATCTTAATATGATCCAATTTATAATTTTCTCTTATCTGTTTCTTTTTTTTTTCCCACTGAGGAAGATTTGCCCTGAGTAAACATCTGTTACCAATCTTCCTCTTTTTTTGCTCAAGGAAGATGAGCCCTGAGCTAACATCTGTACCAATCTTCTCCTACTTTGTATGTGGGTTGCTGCCAGAACATGGCTGATGAGTGGTGTAGGTCAATGACTGGGATCTGAGTCCATGTACCTGAGCTCAAAGTGGACTGCACTGAACTTAACCACTACACCATGGGTCTGACCCCTCTTTGACTTTTATTGTATCAAAAGGAAAACATTTTCTCCTCATTGTGAAAATGCTCTGCTCTCTCTCATTTAAAAAATTCAATCTATGTATTGTGTTTATGTTAGAACTAAAACTAAGATTTAAGTAATTAAGAAGGAATTGAATCCAGCAAAAGGCTGGTTTACTGATATGGAAGACAGTTCAAGAGCAAATTTCCCAACAAAACCACAGGGAGAAAAACATTGGAAAATTCAGCATAGAATTACAAGACACGTGTGATCAAAAGGGGAGTAGACAGAATGTGGGCAGGAATTGATATCAGAAATGAAAATGCACAAGCCTGTTCCAAGACGGTGAAAGACATCAACCCACAGATTCAATTAATTCAACATTCTTTAAGCAGAGTGAATACACAGGAACTATTAAGGAGCTATAATATAGTCCGGAAACCAAAATTAATGTAAAGGATTTTAGAAACTATAGAGGCCAAATAAGCAAGGAAAAGGATAATTGGTGATTTCTAACCATAGAAAAAATAAGATAGACATCACCAGAGCACCATTTTTAAAACGCTAAAATAAATCTCATGTCAAAACAGAATTCTGTATCCAGCAGCAACAGTGCACCAAATAATGATGTCTTAGGAAAACTTAGAGTGAAACTTTTCACTGTTAGCAGCCTTGAATTAGACAAAATACTAGAGTGAGTTACTAAGTCCAAAGGAAAATAATCCCAGATTGAGAACCAGGAATGCAGGAAGCAATAAAAGGAAAGTAAAGGATAATCTATAAATAAATACACATGAATTTTGTTTTATGATGCCATTGTAGAAACCTCTCATGGAGATTAAAATACACGTAGAACTAAAATGCATGACAACAGTAATGCAAAAGTGGGGAAGGTTCAAAATAAAATTGAAATTGTTTACGGTATTAGAATTGGTGGGAGGTGGTAAAAGTAATTATTTGTATTAATTATATTAAGGATCCATGATTTAACCATTAGTGCAATTAAACCAAGATTTCTATATGATTGCAATTAAGCAGTTTATAGAGGAAATAATGGAATAATAAATGGATTAAATCAAAGCCAGTGAAGTAAAGAGAGTAAAGGAACATTCATTTATTTAGATCAAAGGGAAAGGAAAGACTAAATTGCTTAGAATCATCTCAAATTTACTGGTAATTAGGTGAAATGTAAATGCACAAAATATTAATTTCTTTTTAATGGCTGTGTGATATGTTCTAGAGATGTATTAATAAACTTTGGACATTCTTTTATTGACGATCATTTAAACAGTCTCCAATTGTTTCCTATAAAAATGTAAGTTGTATGTACATCTTTGTACATAGAAACTTCTATTCCTGTTTTTATAGAAGGTATCCATAGTGGGAGAAAAAGGAAACATCAAAATACTGATAGAAACTGCAAATACCACCTCCCCACACACAACTGTATTAAAATTTTTCCATTTATGAACAGTATCTGACAGTGTCAATAACCTGACATTTTTGTGTTTCAGTATAAAGATTTAGGCATTTCTCAAATCCCGTTGAGAAGAGACAGGATGTCTCCTCTGGATTATCCCCTGATTGGGTTATCCACTCTCTTCCTTGATAAAAGGGGAATCAGAGGCAGAAGTCACTGCCTTCTCCAGCAAGCCACAGGCTGTCTGCACATCAGGAGTGGGGTCAGCAGGACGAGTCTGCAGCCCTCGAGACACCTGCATCCACCTGGTTTCCCAGCCAGCCTACTCCGGTGAGTGTGGAATCCACACGGACGGCAAGAGTGTCCATGTGTATACTCTGTTCTTCTGTGGAAGCTCTTTAAGTCAGCAGACAGAAGCTCTTTAAAATAAGGAGCTATCTTATTGAAAGTTATTTCTAGGTGTTAATGTTCGTTAAGTCACGTTCAGGGCACCCTACTTTTTTGTATAGGGAGTTTTCCTGGGATAATAGGCCAGACGTTTGTTTTGTTTTGTCTTTAAACAGCATCACTAGGAAATGGAAGTAGTATTAAGCCCTGCACTGTTTCAATTGTTCACCTTTCCAGAAAATTGTTAACCCACAATGTGCTCGGTCTTTTTTTTTAAATAAAATCAGTTCTGTACTCCAACATCAGGTCATCAGTGAGTCCTTCCCTAATCTCGTCCTCATCAGTGCTTTTAGTGAATTTCTTTCTCCCTTCTTCCCTCCTTGTCTCTCTTCCTCCATCCCTCCCTCTTGCTCTCTCTCTCTCTGTGTCAGCCTTACTGTTTACCAGGACCTAGTTATACCTAACACTATATTAGACACTCATTACTATGTTTATTAACTCTTTCCTCTCACCGAGATTAAAATAAACAGGGGCGGGGATATTGTTAAGTTAAATTCTGGATCATGGGTATTAGTGCATAACTCGGCAGATAATAGGTGCTCTATAAATGGAAGGGTCAAATAATTTTCCCTCCAAACTGGGACATGTCAGGGAATGCAGTGGCGTTAATAATTACAGCAGGACAACAGGAATGAAGTGAGATTTATGGTTTTACTTTAAAAAAATATCTTCTGAAGACAGAAATGAGGGGCTTAAAAGGAAAGGTGTACTGATTAGGTTTACATTTTTAACAGATTTTTGGGAGTAGAGTCTTATAATGGATTACACAGAGAAGGGATTTGCTATCTTACTGATAATTTTTTGCAATACACCACAAAAGAGATTTGTACACAGCCAGTAACTTAGGGAGATATCTGCAGACAGAATTTGGAAGTTAAAAAGCCAAGGGAGGGACTGGCTGAGGCCCTGAGGGCAGACAGGCTTGCCAGGGAGGCAGAGAGGGAGGAGCCAAGAAGGATGTTCTGAGAACTGAATGGAAAGAGAAGCTTGTGCTGAAGAAGCCAAGAGGTGTAGCCCTGGGCAAGTGGCTCCCGTGAGCAGCCCTCAGTTTCACTCACCTCTTTTAATGTCAATCCTGCTCTGGACTGTGACACCTTGTCATATTAAAATTGTACTTTATTAATTCTTTTGAAAGACAAAAATGTGAAGAGTAGATGGTCTGGTGGGTAAGAGATCGGGTTTCGTGTGACAAGAAAGAAGATCTTTACTTGTCCTGGTACTCCACACTTTCTGTTTACCGTGATTTTTATTTACTTTTATATTAAATTCGACAGAGGTAATTTAGCTTGAGGGATCACTTAGTGTTTTTAGATATAATATTTTCTTCTAATATTTATGCTCAAGAAAAGATGATACCAACTGTAAAGAGCTTTTTTTAACATTAAATGAATTTGATTCCATAAAAATCTTATTTGATTAAACTTGCTTTTATATCTCATTCTAACATGTCGCATCCTTTTCTTCCATATTTTTACCAAATACTAATTCAGACATAAGACATTTTTATATAATTTAATTAGCGCTTAGGCTACCTGTTACAGCCTTATCTGTTACTTAAAATTACCTGGGTGGTTTTTTAAATAGTTAACTTTAGGTTGTTAAGAAGGAAAATGTCCTTTGAGAACATTTTGCACTGAGAGAACCTTGGCAGCAGGCTCATTGCCTTCGCCCTGACACTAGGTTCTAAGTCAATGAAACTTGTCCTCTTACTTGTAACAGCTAGATCTTAAGTTAGCAGGAGGGAAGCCATGTTAGAGAAAGGAAGCTATATTGGAACTATGGCCCTGACTCACTCGTCTCTGTAAATGTGTTCTAGCCCGCACATAGCCTAGACGATTAAGCACCTCTCGCCTTTGCGGTATACATGACCTGCTAGTTCCATGACACTTGCTTACATGTGTCTCCCAGCTGTGATAAACAACTCTGTTCTCTCAGTTCCCCAGGAACATGACGATCTCCAGAAAGAAAAACTCTGCCTTGGTACCCATCAGAAATGACAGAAGAAAGAGATATCAAGGCGCCTTCAAGTCCATCACACCAGACAGTTGACATTACTAAACCCCCCTCCCTTGCCCATTTCTCCTATATAACTGCCTCAAGATTCTGTATGATTTTAAGATGCTTCTTCAGGACACTAGTCTCCCATCTTCCAATTATGCTAGCTAATCGTCTAAATTTTCCTTCTCAACCACTGGCTTGTCTGTAGTTGATTGGCACCAGATCGCAGCGAGCAGAATGAGCCTCCTTTTGCTTGATTATATGCTCACAGTGTAGGGCACATTGTAATTATTCAATTAACATGTTATGAACAATATTTGGTGGAAAAAGGTGGCAAGATACAGATGTGAGATGGGGGGACTCTTTCCCTAGCTCAGGAAGGAAAAGGACTTGAGGTGGTTTTGGAAGGATCTGGCATTTTCTGGACTTCCTTGAAAGATTAAGATACAGCAGTTTTAGCAGTGGTGAGGAAAGAAGCCTGATTCTAGAGTGCCAAAGAGGGATTGAGAAACAGAAGGGCAGAGAGGGAGTGGAGGTGGGCAACTGTGCCTTGTGCCTCTTGACAGCGGCCTCCGGATTGAACATAATGACCGCTCCCTCCCAGAGCCAAGGCTTTGCTGTGGGGCTGGCTCCACCCTAGGACTGGGGTGTTCTAACGCCTCAGTGTCAGCTAATCCGCATATTCCAAACCCTGAGTCCTGGCACAGGGAGTGTCGAATGGCCCTCTCTGGTCCAACAGGATCCAGGCACAGGACCCTTTATGGAACCAGAGGAGGAGCCAGGGGCACACAGGGTTCTTACCTGCCAGACCTGGAGTTCTGGGAAGCGGAGCTGAGTGAGGTCACAGGGCAGGAGCAGCTGACAGGATTTGAGGCCACCTGGGAAGAAAGCGTGGTAGGAGTGGGCGTGAGGGATGGTCAGGACAAGACCTGCCCCCTCACTTGTATCCTGCCTGTATCTGTGCCTGGACATAATCCACTCCTCAAGTTTCGTTAACATGAGCTGATTTCTTCCCTCAATGAATCTTTTCTTTCTTCTTATATTCTGGTATATTACCTTAAATTAATTTTAGTCGGGTTTTCTCTCCCATATATTTAAATTATTTCTGACTGATTCCTAGATGTAGACTATGATTTCGGTGAGTTACCTTGAAAAACAAAGACTTAACATGTGACAACTGAGGACCTGAGAAATTTAAATGATGGCATCTGGCATGGCCAACGCTCTTCAGGACATCCATCTCATAAGCCACATGATAATTACAATTTTTAAGACAAGGTACTATTAAGTTTTGATGGTTTAAGCGAGAACAAAGGGGCAGCCCTCCAATTGACTCAGTTTACCAACAGCAGAGATCCCCCCTTACCTCCTACAGCTCCTGGCGGTTCCTGCCTCCTTGGTTTGTGGCAGCAACTCTATGACCTCTGCCCCTGTATTTAAAATGACCTTCTCCCCTCCATGTCTCTGTGTCCTCTCCTCTTCTTATAAGGACACCAGTCATTCAGCTCAGGCCCTACCCGATATCCAGGATGAGCTCATCATCCTCAGGTCTTTAATCACATCTGCAAAGACTCTGTTTCCAAATAAGATCACATTCCGAGTTTCAAGGTGGACAGGAACTTTTGGCAGACATTTGGCAACCCACTACCTCCTCTGCCCTCAAGCTGGGGATGGGAGAAATCCACGCAGGAAGTGACCTTCTTGTGCCTGGTGGGACCTGAAGGGCTGACGTCAGCAGCAGCCATACAAAGTACACAGACAGTCTTCATGGCTCAGGCAGACCTGAATGATGATAATATTGGAAGAGTCAGCTTCCTCAAAAGTACTTGATTCAAAGTAATAAAGTTAAAAATCATAATACAATTTTTTTGAACTTGTGACGTTGATTTTTTTTGGGGGGGTTGGCCCTAAGCTAATATCTGTTGCCAATCTCTTTTGATTTTCCTTCTCCCCAAAGCTCCTCAGCACATAGTTGTATATTCTAACTGTAGGTCCTTCCAGTTCTGCTATGCCAGACACTGCCTCAGCACGGCTTGATAAGCAGTGCTAGGTCCATGTCCAGGATTTGAACCAGTGAAACCCTGGGCCTCTGAAGCAGAGTGTGTGAAGTTAACCACTCAGCCATGGGGCCAGCCCCCTTATGTTGATTCTTAAATTCATATGAAAGAGAAATTTTACAAAGTGAAAGAAAAAAATTTTTTTTCTTTTCTTCTTTTCTTCTGCTGAGGAAGATTAGCCCTGAGCTCACATCTGTTGCCAATCTTCCTTTTGTTTTTTGCTTGAGAAAGTTTAGCTCTGAGCTACTATCTGTGCCAATCTCCCTCCACTTTGTAAGTGGGTCATCACCTCAGCATGGCTTACAAGTGGTATAGGTGCAAACCCAGGATCTGAACCCATGAACTTGGACTGCCAAAACGGAGCTGGCTGAACTTAACCACGATGCTACAGGGCCACTGCTGAAAGAAGAATTTTGGAAAACCACCCACCAACAAAATGAACATGAAGGAGAATAAGGACAAGGGTAACATATCAAAACATGTCCCCAGTCCTGTTAACAAAAATGGCAGACTAACATGCTCACAGAATCAGTCTATCCACTGAAGCAACCATTCAGCTAGACAAACTGACAGAATCAACTGTTCCAGAACTCTGGCATATAACAAAAACTCACATCAACCAGAGGAGTGATGAATGAAGGAAGAGGTGGCTGAATTTGGGTAAAACATTGCAGCATTTTTGGTTAATGCAGACACACTGCCGTTCCCTGGTTCAGTGGAGGATGTGAGGATGGAGCCCAGATTCCTTGAATGGCTCCTGGTGCCAGGGGACAGACATCAACCTGGTTCTCAAAACAGGGTGATTGTGACTGGATGGCAGTGACCTGTCTGTTGGGTCCCTGAGGGACAGAGCAGAAGCAGACAGGCATTTCTCCCCCTCAGGCTGAAAAGATTTTCCAGGTGGTGGCACGACCTGATGAAAGATTTAAAGGTCTATGCTTCTGGTAGACACCTGGGCAAGTGATGATGGCCGGGGCAAGCCACAGATGGACCCAAAAATCTGGAAAGGAGGCACCTGAGGAGGAAGTTTTCTGGGGAATAAAGGCTTAGAAGGGCCACTGCATGTCCCAGGGAGCCAGAGTGCAATGTGGATGCCCAGAGCCGGATGCGTGTTCAGAAAAGAACTGAGAAGCCCCTGGGCTTACACCTCTGGCAGATTTGTGGGCTCCATGCAAGTAGGTGGTGAAGTGTAAGGAAGAGACGCAGGGGCCCCAGCTACGAAGACTGGGAGAGTTGGTTTTTTTTGTTTTTCAACTGTGTTCTTTTGGATCCTTGCATTTAAAGAAATCTCTGAGATAACCAAAAGGAGACTTCAGTGACCACTCACATCAAGAAATACAGTCTTTGTAAAAATAGTCTGAAAATTCACTAAACAAAAGGAGGATTACACCTCATCAAAAGTAGCAACAGCAAAACCTGGGGAGGGGGAGAATCTGATCTTCACAATGACCACACTGTAATACGCCAAATGTCGAGTTTCCAACAAAATTACAGGCAATATGAAGCTACAGGAAAGCATAGTGCATTCATACGAAATAAAATGAAAATCGACAAATGTCCCTGAGGAAGCCCAGCCTTTGACTTAAGAGACCAAGACTTTAAAACAACTGTCTTATATATGCTCCAAGGGCTGCCTGAAAGCTGTGATAAAGAACTAAAGAAAATCAAGAGAATGACATCTCAGTTCACAGAGAATATCAATAGAGAGAATTTGTAAACAGAACCAAATAGAAATAATTGAGGATTACAGCTGCATTTCCTTCTCCCTTCTCTAGCCTTAAGAAACCACTAACCTACTTCCTGTCTGTACAGATTTGCCTAAATTTGGCATTTCATATAAACGGAATCATATATGCTGTCTTCTTTGACCAGCTTCTTTCACTTCGCAATAGGTCTTCAAGGTTCCTCCATGTTGTAGCAAGCGTCCTTCACATCTGTTATGGCCCAATAAGATACAGTGTATGGATATACGGATCACATTTTGTTTACCCATTCATTAGTTGATGGCCATCTGAGTTCCTCTGGTCCACCTTTTGTGGGTCCCACTTGCACCTTCAGTGACCTTGGACCAATGTCTCCCATCACCCTTCTTATTCTCTGACATCCAGTCAGCTCAGACCTGCTTAGACACCAGGTCTTTTCAATGTAAACACTCGTCCAGTCCTTAGGAAGGGTCATAAAACCAGAGATTGGGATGGGTAGAGGCCACCCCACTGAAGACTGCGAAGGCCAACACATGCTTTCTAGGTGCAGCAACTTTAATAGAAACTATTAGAGCAGAAATTCCCAAAGTTGCTGGCATGTTGGGTCTCCAGTGGTTCCTCTTAACTTTAAGTACAGGGTCTCCTAGGAGACATCTGCCATCATTTTTGGTTTCTCACCCACTGAACTCCTATCTTGTCTGAGGGCTTCCCCCACTTTATGATCCTGGGGGAAGAAAACACCAGCTTCCCAATCTAAAAGCAGAAAATGCCAGATACTTCCATTTGCAGCCTCCCCTCTGCAGCCAGGGCACAGTTCCGTGAATCCGGCACTCAGGCAGACCCTGACCTGAGAGGCAGGAGCATCGCTCTAATGATAACGGATTTGGACAACGGCTAACAGAGGCAGCTTCAGCGGGCCCCCAAGCCCAGGTCCCTGTCCTCCCAGAGGCCCCGATTGTAACAAACCTTCTGTTGCACACAATTAAAACCATGAATAAGAGAACCCGGCGGTGGTGTTGGAAGTGGGCAGAGGGTCAGGAGGGGCCCACAGTTTGCATTTCAGCCTCAGTCTTGGATGATGGGGGGCCTCTTCCCAGAACCCTGGTCAGCCAGCGCGGTCACTGCACCCCAGCGGCCTTCCTCACGTGTTGGGTAGGTGGGCTCAGCGCAAGCCAGAGGCTGCAGCCCCAAGGGGTCAGTTTCCGCTGGGGACATCAGCGCCAGACTCAACGGGGCCATCAAGTCCGGAGGATCCAGCCGTGGGGACACGCGCGTCCTCGTCGTGGGCGGAGGACGCGCCGTTGTCCGGCCAGACCGCCCCGCACCGTGGGCAGCGGCGGGGCCGGAGGAGCCGGGAGGACGGTAGCGGGGGACCGGCGACCACGACCCTCTTCGAGGGGCGCTCGGGGCAGCTCGGGCGCCTGGAAGGCTCCGGGCTCGCCCTCCACGGCTCCTTCCAGCCCAGCCGCCTTCATTTTCCGCCGTCCCCGCCTTGGCATGCCTGTGCGGCGCCGCCAGCCTCCGCGCTCTCTACCGCTCAACGGCCTCTCAGTTCTTCCCAACGGAACCTCGGCTCGGCTCTCTCCGCCACTTCTCGCAGCTTTTCGGCTTCGCTCGGCTCTCCCCGCCAGGCCTCGGGTCCTCCGCCCGGCCTCCGCTCTTTCTTCGCACCTTCGGCTCTTTCCGTTCATCTTCGTCTCTTTCCGCCTAACCTCGGCTCTCCCCGCCTCCCCGCGCCGCTCCTCGGCTCAGTGGTTGCCTGAACCAGCTCTCTCCTCCTGGCTTCGGCTTTCTCTGATTTCGCTGGCAGATTTCGGCTCTTTCGCCTTTCCCCGCCTCGCCCTGGGCTCCGCTGGGCTCTCTCTGTCTCGCCAGGTCTTTGTGTCCGCGGGCAGAGGTGGTTCAAACTTACCTCCTCCTCATTGTGGTACCTGAGTTCCACTTTCTCCCATCCTGATGTCCTGATGTTCCGATGTTCCATCAACATATTAAACAAACAAAAACTGTTCCTAATCTGATAAATAAAAAGGGACTGTTTTACTTCGGATTTTTGTTTTGATGAGAGAATTTGGGAATCATCTCTTATATTAAGAGCATTCTGTATTGTCTGTGAACTATTCGCATTTGTCTGTCTCTAGTGAATTCTTAGTTTTTCTTTTTCTGGCTGGTAGGAGTTCTTTAATATTAACAAATTAGCTTTTTTGGCCAGTTGCCAATATTTTCCTCTTTTCTTTTTTATCTTTGCCTCTAGACGTTGCTGCCATGCAGATTTTTTAAATGAAATCAAATCTATTAATTTTGTTACCTCTTGTGTTCTGCTTTAAAAAAGACCGGCTCTCCTTTGAGATTATGTATAAAATATTTTCCTTTGGTTTCTTCTGGGACATTTATAACTTCAATTTTTACATTTAAATCTATGATAATCCCTATTCCACAGACCAACTGGTGGTTCCAACAGGATTTTTTTGTTTACAATCCGTTTCTTCTTTACTGATTTAGCGCATAACCCGTGCCCACTTTATTATGAAAAATGTTCAAGCATGGAGATAATGTGAAAGATTTTTACAGTGAACACTCATGTTAAGGACTGAATTCTGTCTCCTCAGCATTCATGTGTTGAAACCCAAATCCCTAATACCTCATTATGTGTATGAGACTGTATTTGAAGGTTGGGACTTTAAGTAATTAAGGTAAAATGCAGCCATTGGAGGACCCTAACCCAGTGTGACAAGTGTCC